CTGTCGGCACACATCACTGCGCTGATTTACAGCTCCTGTGTATTTTGACGGTTTTGCCCTTCGTACTGAGGAGGGAAAGAAAACTGCTTGTATTTTAAATAAAAGCTTAAATCCTGGAGCACAAGACCCAAACATCAGGGTAAAGAGCCTGTTGCCAAGCCACCCCAATCCAAGCACTTTCCTCCTCTGTATTTAGCATTCCTGTTAATGGAATTTGGACTATAACTAATGCTGATTAACATTTCCATGTCGGTTATTTCACATAATCTTTTCTCCAGCGGTGGCAGAAACCAGAAACACGCCGTTTATACTTGTTCAGTCACTGATTAAGCCAGTCAAAGCCACTGAGAATGAAAGGCTACTATGTTTAACCGACCCTAATATGGATCAATTCCTAAACGCAGGAATGGTGTTCTTTCCCTATAAACCTCCGCCCGGATAACAAGCTTTTGATTGCAGGCTAATCCTGGGGTGGGAAAACAGCGGCAGGCGATTGGTATGAAGCATGGGAGGCAAAAGTGCGGGCACGAATGAGCCCTGCGCTTTTTAGTGATGGAGCACTGGTAACCGCCAGCCCATAAATAATACATCTAATTTTACACCTGCACTCATTCTTCCGTGCTGGGAGTTCAGCGCAGATATACCGCAGCCTAAAATTAGAGCAGGTTACAGACATGATCTTTAACATGTTAAAAGTAGAAACATGCCAACGGATGCGATGTCCTCGCCCCGGCGCTCCGGCCTGTTTCCACTCGGGGTGGGCAGGAACATACCAGACACGGCTCAGGGCACCTACGGCGTTTGGTTCCAAGGCTGGGGCAGCGCGGCAGGGACACGGCACCCGGCGGCACGGCGCAGCCCGCCACGCCACGCGGGGCTGGGGGCTGGGGGCTGGGGGCTGGGGGCTGGGGGCTGGGGGCAGCCCCCCCGCCGCTGCTCAGGGGGGGGCGGGGAGGCGGTGGGGGGTCTGCAGGTTCACCACCGAAACTTCCAGTCAGCCCCGCCGAACGCCGGCTCTGCCGGGGGAACCCGCCGGGCTCCCCCCTCAGCCCGTCGCTCCCGCGGCCTTCGCCGCTGCAGCACCGGGAGCTGCTGGGAGCTGCGTGTGGCCGGGCAGAGGCGGGAGGGGCGCCGAGCCCCCCGCCAGCAGCTCCCCGTGGCCGCAGAGCACAGCTGCCAGACGGGAGGTCTCTGTCCCACTGCCCGTTCCGCTTCCAGCACCGGCCTGCTCGACCTCCTCCTACCTTGGTTTCCCCTGCTCCTGTGGCAGGAGGACTGATTTCATCTCCTCAGATGCTCAGAGGACTGGCTCAGGCACCAGCTTGGGATTTTTCTGGGGTAGATGGGTTTTCCCTCCTTTAAAAAAAAAAAAAAAAATGCTTTGTGACATACCAGTTCTTGATCAAAATTAATTTTTATGTATCATTACTTCTCCCAGGAGGGAAAAAAAATAACACTAGCGTGTGTAACTGCATCTGTTTGCAAGGTATTATTCAGGCACTAGAGGTAACTGCTGTATGAAGATAAGAAGAGTGATTTCTGGAAAGCAGAGGGTCCCTCAGGAGCAGCAGGGAAGAGACGCACCTCGAGCTCTGTGGACCCTTACACCCACCGCGGACGCTGGCTCTACGGCAGGACCAGCGTTTTATTCGTCTTGACCCGTGGGCAGGTGAGGTTACGGCTGCTGCCCAGGTTCAGCTGGGGCAAAGAGACACGTCAGAGCAAATTACGGGGAAGCGCTTCTGATGCGAAACTCCCGTGAGAAAGGATGAACAGGAGGAACGACTCCCCAGCCGCTCCCAAGGGCTAATTGCTGAGAGCGCTGGGCCGGGAAGCACGCGAGGAAGGCCCAAGCAAGTAATTATCCCGCCTCGGCGGAGCGTCGCCTTCGTCTGCAGCCGGCTCCAAGCAGAAGGCTTGGAGGTTCTCGCGGGTCGGGGCTCCCCGGCGGCTGCCCCGTCGTGCTGGTTTGGGCGCGGCGGCGATCCCAGCCCAGGGCTGGGCTGGCGGCAGGACCAGGGCGGCAGCAGGCAGGGGCGCAGCGAGCCCCGGGGTCCCACGCCGTCGCTCACGTGCTTAAGGCAATCCAGGGAGTAAGCAGGGAAAAGTGGAAATACCTTGAAAATCGGCACAGCCCAGCCTCCTGTTCCGTCCGGGCGTGGGAGCAGCGACGCCGAGAGCGCCGGGATCCAGCCCTGCAGCTTTACAGGACCCGTGAGCGAAGGGCAGACCCGTCCCTTCAGCACTGAGCACCTTCGCGGCGTGAGGGGCAAACCACAGAGCCCCTGCTCCCACCTGGGGAAACCTGCCCTTCCCGGCGGCTTAAATGGGGATGAGAAAGGGAGGAAGGAAGGAAAAAGAGACAGGAGATGCACGTGCCCTCTGTCCAGAGGAGAAGGGAACGCCGATTCCTCTTGTCCCCAGGGACGCTCCACGGGGAAGCAGCGCTCCACCCCTCCGGTTATTGGTTGTTGGAACCTCAATAAATCATGGAGCGGGGTTCTTCCGCAAGCTGTAACCGCGCAGGCGGGAACCCAAGAGCCCCCTTCTGCCCCCTCCAGAGGTATTTTGAAATAACGTTCTTAAAAGGTAAACCAAGACCGACCGACAGCACATTTTTCTCGAGCTGTCTGCGGGGAAGGAAATGAGATGGAAATCACTAATCACCTTCCTCCGATTAAGGCTGAGCGCTGCCAGCCAGGCCTGCGCGACCGCTGCCCCGTGGCACCCCGTGGGACCCGCGCTGGGCTCGGGCCAGGCCGGCAGCAGCACCCACGGGAACCCTGAGCCGTTTCGGTGCCAACTCAGAGACCACCCTCGGGCACATCTGGCAAAGCCGGCGTCGCCGGGGACGATGCTCAGCCCGTTCCCACGGAGAGCTCCGCACCGAAAATCCAAAGAGATGAGAGCGGGGTGGGAGCTTCACCAGTCCAATTCGGGGAGCCGGGCCCCTGGGTAATAAATCCCTCCCGTTTGCACAGAAAGGGGACGCCGGGTTTCCACTCTCCGCCCAATCGAAAAACCAAAAGCAGCGCTCGCAGCAGCGGGAGCGTCCGGCTGCCAACGTGCCGCAGCTCTGCCACGTCTCCTCCCATCCAGCCGAGCAGGAGCCACCGTCACCAGCGCGCTGCAGCCCGAGAGGCCGCAGCCCCAACAGCAGCCACGTCCAGCTAAACCCAACAACAAATGCAACAGCAGCAGCCGGCAGATTCGCCAGGCACCGTCCCATCAGGGACCAGTTGGGTTTTGTCCTCCCAGAGCAGGGTCTGGCAGCGCCCCCGGTCCCCCCTGTGCCCCGTGTGGCACCGGTGACCCTCACCCCCCGCGCCCCGGCTGCCCTTCCCCGTCCCACGGGAGCTCCGGGCCTGCTGGTGCGTTCACCCGGCGGCACAAACCATCCGGGACGCTGCGGAGAGATTTTTCAGCCAGGAGCAGCCTTCCCCCCACCCCGCCGGAGCTTCTCCAGCCTCAGCTCCCCATCCCCGATCCGCCGGGGACTCGGAGGTGGGGGCCAGGCAGCCACGGGCTCTCAGGGTAACCCCAGCCCCTGGTTTTACGCCAGCATCTCGGCCAGCCCCGGGGGAGGCCCGTAAGGCACCTGCCTCCCCCCTGCCCGCTGCCCCCCAGCCCTCCCAGACACGTTTCCAGGCAGGAGCGGAACAAGGTGGAGAGGGAAGGAACCAAGGCTGCGGTCGCCCCAGGCATCGCTCGCGGCAAACCCTGCGCTGGCTGCCAGGAGGGGCCTGTCCTGCACGGCCTCTGGGCAGGGATGTGCCATTGCCCTGTAGCCCCCCTGGCAGCCCCTTTCCCAGCCCTCCCGGGGCAGCCCCAGCCCCACGGGGACACATCCGGGCACTGGCTGAGCAGCTTCTCCCCTTCCCCTGGCTGGTGGCCCCGCGGGAGGCTCGGAGGGGGCCGGCTGGGCACACTGTGCCATCATCCCCCGCCGGGGCGAGGGGGGAACCGCGGGCTGAGGAACCAGGTCAATACCAAAACAGCCCAGGGACCAAAGTGAGAAGCTGATGCTGTTCTGAGGGCACAACGGCAGCTTGGGGGTTTTTCTGTCTTTTAAGCACCATCTCATCTTGCTACTGAGGAACTCGGGACTTCCTCAGCTGGATCTGCGTTCACCAACTGCAGCTCCAAAATCCTCCGGGGCAGAGGGAAGGCAGCCCCTTCCCCACGCTCTGCCTTCCCACAGGGAAGCGGCCCCCACTCCTGCCCCGCTCCCCCCGCGCACACCAGCTCCCTCCTTCCCAGGGCCGGCAGCCGAAGCCGGCGCCCAAAATCCAGGTGGGAAATGGTCCGTGTCAAAGCGTGGAGGGCAGGCGGCAGGACAGGGCTGCGAGGCTCAGAGCGCGGGGCGCCTGGCCCGGCCCGGCTCCCTGCCCCCACAAAAGCTCCAGGCAGCATCACAAGGCAAAGAGCCTTTCACGAGAGGAACGTGCAGGCATGTCTGGGCACCCCGGTGCCGGTGCAAGCCGTGCTTGGCCGCTGAAAGCCTCTGGGGAGCACCTGGGAGCTCCTGGGCTCTGCAGTTAAAAGAAGGACGAGCTTTTACTTCCCCGAGGACCAGAGGTTATTCATTCCACCGTCCCAGGCCGTCGCTGGGAGGGTGAGGAGCTTCTGGTGTGCGGCAACTGGGGGGAGTCACTCGGAGGCAGCAGAGGTCTGGGAGCGGTCAGAAACCCCGTTCTGGCGTGGCAGGTGGCCACACGTGAGCATTTTGAAAAGGAACAATAGAGGAGTAAAACTTTTTTTTTTTTTTTTGGGGTGGGGGGCACTGTTCTCCAAATTAAAAAAAAAACAAAACAAAGAAACCCCCAAACTTCCTAAAATGTTGGTGCCCCCCTGCTCCTTGAGGACACACTTTGCTGCAGCCAGGCCCTGTGTCCCTGGGGACATGTGGTAAAGGAGCAGTAGGGCAGAGGAAAAAAAAAAAAAAACAAACCAAAAAACAAAGAGAGCAAGTAAAAAGAAAACCAATAAAGAACCAAAAATTGCACAACCCTGCATTTCATTCGTGGAATCTGTTCAGAAACACAATTTGCCCACAGCCTTCCACAAAATTTCTCGCCCTTCTCTGCAGAATCCCAAGCAGCCCTGGGAATGAACGCGGTTTCTCAGCAAGCCTGCTGTCGTGTCAGCCAGCTCCGGGTCGTGTCCCGGGCCGGCCAGGGACCCCCCACCCCGCGCAGGAGCCTTTGCTGCGTGTCCCCGGAGGGAAGCGCCGGGGGCAAAGCGGGCTGGGCTCGGGCCACGACGCGCTGGCACCCGGGCTTTGATCTCTGCTGGCTTGGGGATGCAAAGGAAGGAGGGTGCGCTCGGGTTTGTTTTCTTCCAGCTCCATTAGCTGACCTAACGAAGTAATGACATCCCTCTGCAACCCCGGGGGGGAGAAGGAAGCCTTTCCAGGATGATTTACTTGCTCCTGAAAGGCTGCTTTAAAGAATAAACTAATTAGCAAGCAGCCTTTGTTTCTGGATTTAGCAAACCTCTCAGTGCAAATTAAAGGTGATGAGCAGTGTCTGAGCCGAGCGCTGCACGCGAACCCCGCCGCACCGGGTGCTCCTCATCCTGCTGCCCGTGGGGTTGTGGGGCTCCCGTGGGGCTCCCACCCTCCACTCGCGGCTCCTGCCCAGCCCAGGGCTCCCAGAGCCACCGAGCAGCTGGGGGGACTCGGGGGGGGGCTGCGGAGCCGTTTGAGAACCGAGGCAGGGGCAGCGTGGCTGTTCCGTGCCTGTGGGGCATCCCCCTCCCAGACGAGCAGGCGCAGCCAAAGGCCGACGCGGGCAGGGGGGCGTTTTTAAGAGCACTAAATATTGCAGGCCACGTCCACGCACCATCACCCCCGGCTTCCCAAGCTCCCAGGGCGAAGACCGAGAAGAAACGCCGTGATTTTGGCACAGCAGCAAGCAGCTCCGGCCAGGAGCGCAGCACCGCGCCGCGTCCCGCCTCTCCCCGGGAAAAGCTCCTTCTCCTGCAGCCCCCGAGGTGGGGGATGGAGGCAGAGCCCCTCACCCTGCTCGGAGCTTTCATTCAGCATTAGCTGGAGGTGGTAGAGAAAACCACGGGGGCCATTTCTCTGCTGTGCTTCAGGTTCCTCCTTCGCTCGCTGTAAAACTCTCTTTAAAGTCGCCAACCTTGGCCAATGGGCTGGGGTTTCCTCTGTGGCTTCTGGGGGGGGGGCCCCCAGGGCCCCCTCCCTTCCCCAGCTGCGGGTGAGCCCCCGCAAACCCCTGGGCCTTAATTCCCATCTTTTCCTCTCCCTCCTTTGCACAGATATTTAACAGCAACGGGGAGGTCTGGGCGACGCTTCGCAAACCCTTTTGGAGAGGAGCAGCGGCCCGTTGCTGCAGCTTCCACCATAGGTGGGCTCCAGAGTTACTGAGCAGGGAGGAAATCCAGGCTTCTCCAGAGGGACCCAGTGTTCTCTGGAGTATCTGCTCCCCAGATACGCCGCGTCGCCAGGTCCTCTGAGCTGGTGTAAGATGCCAAGGAGGAAAAAAAAAAAAAAAAAAAAAAAAAAAAAAAAAAAAAATGAGGATGCCATGGGAATCAAAACCTAACTGTGCCACCCAGCAGCAGCTGCTGGAGACCCCTCGAGGAGGGACGCTGTTCCTGGCAGAGCCAGGCACCCCCTGCTCCTTCCCGGCCCCAGAGCAGCTGCAGAAATCGGATTTACTCGGAAAGAAGCTGATTACGGTTTCCTGACACCCAGGAGGGCGGCGCAGGCAGCAGAGCCCGCGCTGGGGCTGGGAGGCTCCGGAGCCCTGGTCACTGGGAGGAACTGGGGGGGGGTCCTCTGGGGCAATGGGCTCTGCGGGTGCTCCCCCACTCTCTGCATTTCTCCACCTTTACTCGCCGATTCCACTCGGGGTTGCTCATGAACAGGAGGAGCGAGCAGGGCAAGGCTTTGGCATAACCCCCGTGTGGCCTTAGCGCGAGCAAAGCCCGGCGAGCGCCCGCACGCCAAGGCCGATTGCAGTTAACAGGGAGCCGCCCGTGGACTCACCGACCTTTGGCTTGAGCCCCGCGGGAGGGCCCACTCCCCCTTTACACCCCGGTGTAAGCTGCTCCTCTCTCCCGTGGAGGTGATGGAGGCAGCTCCCTCCCCCACGGCGGGGCCGAGCCCCCCGCACGATGCCGCAGCCCCACATTTGAGTGGGGCAGCTCCGCACCCACCGCAGCACAGCCCCCTCCCCAGGGGCACCCACAACCCCCCCCAGGGGCACCCACAACCCCCCCCAGAGGCACCCACAGCCCCCTCCCTGAGGGCACCCACAGCCCCCCCAGGGGCACCCACAGCCCCCTCCCCAGGGGCACCCACAGCCCCCCCAGGGGCACCCACAGCCCCCTCCCTGAGGGCACCCACAACCCCCCCCAGAGGCACCCACAGCCCCCTCCCTGAGGGCACCCACAGCCCCCCCAGGGGCACCCACAGCCCCCTCCCCAGGGGCACCCACAGCCCCCCCAGGGGCACCCACAGCCCCCTCCCTGAGGGCACCCACAGCCCCCTCCCCAGAGGCACCCACAGCCCCTCCAGGGGCACCCACAGCCCCCCCCCCCAGGGGCACCCACAACCCCCTCAGGGGCACCCACAGCCCCCCAGGGACACCCACAGCCCCCCCAGGGGCACCCACAGCCCCCCCCCCCAGGGGCACCCATAGCCCACTCCCCAGTGGCACCCACAGCCCCCTCCCCAGGGGCACCCACAGCCCCCCCCCCCCAGGGGCACCCACAACCCCCTCAGGGGCACCCACAGCCCCCCCAGGGACACCCACAGCCCCCCCAGGGGCACCCACATCCCCCCCCCCCCCCCCCCAGGGGCACCCACAGCCCCTTCCCCAGGGGCACCCACAGCCCCCCTGGCACAGCCCAAAGCACCACAGACACCGCGCACGCAGGCCGTGGCCGGAGAGGGCACCGGGGAGGTGTTTCGGGGGGATGTGCTCACCTGTAAGGGTGCCACGGCTGAGCTTGGGCCAAGTCACGGGGAGAATTCTGCTCCCTCCTCTCTGTCCCGTGGGGTCGGAGCCCGAGGATGCAGAAGCTGCAGGATCTCACTTGACACGACCGCCGCTGCGCCGGGCAGGCTCTGAAGGGCAGCAGGAAAACAAGGCGAGGATGCACCCAGCCCTCCGCGCCCCACGGTGCAGGAAATCACCCTCAGATTGGAGCAAAGGGAGGAAAAAGGGGAAACAACGCGTGGGGCAGGATACACAGCTGAACCACGGCCGCCACGCGGCACCGCCTTCCAGCCACAGAGCCGGGGGCGCCCCGAGAGGCCCAGTGAATAACCACCGCTCATCGACAACCTCCTAAAGAAAAGAATTTCCCATGTGTAAAAGCACCTTCTTGCAGGAGGGAGCTTGGCCAGTTGAGCTCCCCCAGGCCCAGTCACGCTGGGTGCCAGGAGGGAGGTGGGGGCTTCTCCCAGCCTGCCCAGCAAGGGGCTTGTGGTGCCCCACTTCCCGCATCCTCCCTCCCAGGCCACCCCGCCTGGGCTCCCACGCTCACAAACTCTTCGTTTCTTTCCCCGCAAACGCTGCCTCAGTGTCCTGGGTTGAGTGAGTGGTGGAGTTTTTTGGTGGCAGGGGAGGGGGCTATCGGGGCGGCCCCCCGTGAGAAGCTTCTCAAAGCTCCCCCAGCTCCACGTCAGCTCCACTTCTGTTTGGGAAATTGAGCCAATCGGCTGCGCCTCTGCGATAACGTATTTAAGAAGGGACGTGGTGACGGGCAGGGGGACTGGTGAGGAGGATTTGGGGCAGCTGCATGAACACCAAGGTCAGTGGAGGAACGGAGGAAGAAAGGAGGGGGGAGGTGTGCCAGAGCAGAGACCCCCCTGTATCCTGTGGGGAGACGGCAGGGCGGCCCCCCCCCGCCACCCATGAAGACCTACGGTGGAGCAGACACTGATTTATGGCCAGTGGCTTCTGCTTGTATGATCAAGGTGTTGTGCCCGAAGAAGGCCGGGGTCTCATGGGAAAAGGCAGCCCCGCTGCTGTAATTCAGTGCTGGGAGGATTGCAGCATGTGGGGGTGTCCCACGCTGGAGCAGCTCGGGAAGGGCTGCAGCCGTGGGAGAGAATCCAGTCAGAGAAAGTTAGTGACCCATGACGGAGCAGTGTGGGGAACACTGCGACCCATGGGAGGAATTCAAGTCAGAGAAAGTTTGTGGAGGACTGTCTGCTGTGAGAGGGGGACCACGATGGAGCAGGAGGAACAAGTTTTGGACACTCCCCTCACCGAAGATGAAGGAAGTGGCAGCACTGACTGCACCCCCCATTCCCTGCCCCTGCGCCCCTGGGGGAGGAGTTAGAGATATTGGGAGCAGAGCTGAGCCCGGGAAGAAGGGAGGGGTGGGGGAAGGTGTTCTCAAGATGTGGCAATGCTTCTCACTGTCCTACTCTGTTATGTGTTGTTAGTGTCTGTAATAAATGTATGGTTTTTTTTTTTCTTCCCCTAACGAGTCTGCCTTTTGCTCGTGATCATAAAGGGGGATTTTTCCCCATCCCAGTCCTATCTCGAACCCCAAGCCTGGCTCTGTGTCCCTTCTCATTGCCGGAGGGGAAGGGAGAGAGAGCTGCTGCATTGTGGTTGGCTGCCAACCAGGCCCAAACCACGACACTCAGCTTCTCCTGTGGGTAAAACAAACGAAGCTCCGAGCCCCGAGCACACGCAGCCTCCGCGGGGTCTGCACAGGCCAGGGGCTCCCGGGCCCCCATCTGCCTCTCCAGATACATGAACCAGATGGACAGACGGACACCGGCGCGGCTCCAATCCCTGTGGAGCTCTAAAGGGGCTCGGCTAAGGAGGGAGGTGAGTCCCCACCGGCGGGAGGTCACTGTGCCTTGGGACAGGCCGCACGAGTCCCACCGGGCACTTTTATGTGAGCGGGTACAAGGCACAGGTTGTAACCCTTCGCCTTGAGAGGGGCAGCCCGTGCCTCAGCAGGGCCTTAACTCCGAGCTCAGCGTGAAATCTGGAAGCAGCTAACGAATTGCTTCAGGCCAGGAAGAGTTCCCCCTTCCCAGGAAGAGCTGTAAGGAGCAGAGGCTGCCCAGCACCGCACCAGGCGCATCCATCCTCTCCCTGGGGAGGCCGAGCACGGCGGGAGCAAAGCCCTGGGCACCTTCCACCGCCGCAGCCAAAACGTCCTCGACCTGCGACGCCCTGGGCCGGGGCGGCAGCGCTCGCCGAGCCTCTCTGCCTGCTCACCTCGCTTCCCCGCACAGCGGCTCGGCACACCGCCTGCGAACGCAGCCGGGGGGAAAAAAAAAAAAAAAAATAATAAAAAAAAATAGCAGGTGATCGCTCCCGAGTGGAGCAGGGAAGCAGCAGAGGACGGCGCAGCAGCCGCCGGGGTACAGGCCCTGCCCCAGGGGGCTGCGGGCTGCCACCACCTCCCGCTCCCTCCTGGTTTTCCAGCAGGCTACCCGGGGATCTACCCAAGCAACCAGCACGGGATCACCAAGAAGATCTGTACAGCTCCCAGGGACGACGGGAGTGCGCTGACAGCAAAAGGTTGTTTTCACTCTCGGGGCAGTTTGGCAAAGGATAAACCCATTGTTCAGACGCAGAACAGAGTCTTGGCTCTTTGTCTGGGTAATGGCCACGGTAAATCAAGAGCAGTGGCTAATTAGCCGCGTGACGCCGCCTGTTAAACACCGAGAAGAGCACAGGGGGATTGGAAAAATACCGGGCAGCAAGCGGGGCGCGCATCTCCTGGCTCCCACTCGTGTTTCCCACGCAGCTCCAGGGCTGCTTCTCCTGGCTCCCACTCGTGTTTCCCACGCAGCTCCAGGGCTGCTTCTCCCAGCTCCCCGCGCTCCTCGGGGCTGGAAACGCACCTCCCAAGCGCTGCAGCTGCCCCGGCACTGCCTCCATTTCCACGGCAACTTCCCCTCGCCTCACTGCTCCGTGTCTTCGTTTCCATTTAGCCAGGGAGCCCTGCTGCTTCCGTGGATCGTTCAGCACCATTTGTGCTCCAGCAGACCCCCCCTCAGCCAGCGCCGCCCTGTACAAAACAGAAGCAACGTCGTCAGCGGCCGCGCTTCGGCCCCGGGGGGCAGGTGGAAGAGGCTGGGACGGGACCCAGCTGGAGCCTTGTCCAGGCACCCACCAAGAACCTGAGCCTGCCTCCACCCTCCCGGGGCCCCGGCTAGCCCAGCCCCACCTTCACACCCATGGAGCTGCTCTGGGGAGGGTGCACCCCACGCGTGGGTGCGGGACCCTCGGGGGCAGCAGCAGGACGGGAGCTGGAAGGGCACGGCTCGCCCCCCAGCAGCACCGGGCCAGCCCGCGGGCGGAGGTGCTCAGAGCCCCACATCCTGGGGCTTCCTGTAATAACATCTGTGATTAAAACCCGGTGGTTTAGCCTAGAAATGGCTGTCATCAAAGCAGCTGCTAAGGCACGTAATGCTTTTAATGGATGTGACGGAAAAAAACCTCATTCGTCAGCACAGCACTGCCCTCCTGGCAAAAGGGGTGCCACGAGATCAGAGCGGTTGGAAGGAACCTCAAATCCCCCCCCAGTGGCACCCCCCGCCCCGGGCAGGGCCCCCTTCCCCCAGCCCAGGGGGCTCCCAGCCCCGTCCAACCTGGCCTTGAACCCTTCCAGGGAGGGGGCAGCCACAGCTGCTCTGGGCACCCTGGGCCAGCGCCTCACCATCCTCATCTTCCCTATAGCTTATCTAAACCTACACTCAGTTCAAAACTATTGTCCCTTGTCCTATAGACCTCGATCATAAGTCTTTCTCCATCTTATAAGCCCCCTATATATGGAAAGACCACAACAAAGTCTCCCTTCTCTTCTCCAGGCTGAACCCCCCCAACTCTCTCAGCCCGGCCTCCCAGGGGAGCTGCTCCAGCCCCCCCAGCATCTCCGTGGCCTCCTCTGGCCCCGCTCGAGCAGCTCCGTGTCCTTCTGCTGTTGGGGGCCCCCGAGCTGGCCCCAGCACTGCAGGGGGGTCTCCCCAGAGCGGAGCAGAGGGGGAGAATCCCCTCCCTGGCCCCGCTGCCCCCCCTGCTCTGGCTGCAGCCCAGGGCACGGGGGGGTTCTGGGCTCACGGGCACTTTTCCAGCCACTCATCCCCCCCAGCCCCTCTCCTCGGGGCTGCTCTCCAGCCGCCCCTCGCCCAGCCGGGGCTTGTGCTGGGGATTGCCCCGACCCCCGGGCAGGCCCTTGCCCTTGCCCTTGTTGACCCCCCCCCTCCAGCCTGTCCCCGTCCCTCGGGATGCCATCCCTGCCCTCAGCATGTCCCCAGGGAACTCGCTGAGGGTGCGTCCATCCCACTGTCCATGTCCCAACAAAGACGTTAAACAGCGCCGGGCCCAACCCGACCCCCCAGGGGTGTCACTTGTCACCTCTCTCCCCTTGGACACGGAGCCCCTGACCACAGCACTCAGTGCCACCATCCAGCCCATTCCCTACCCCCAGAGAGCCCCATCCTTCAAACCCAGGTCTCTCCAGTGTAGAGACAAGGCTGTTGTGCAGAGATGGAGTTTAATGCTTTGCTATCCACAGAGGAAGGCACTTACAGGGGACCTCCAGATCCTGTCCCACAGACACAGAATCAAGGGAAGAAAGCACTTGCCACACAAAGCGATGTACTGAACTCGGCCTAGCTGACTTCCCTTCTTACTGGGTTGGGGAATTAGCTTTTAAGTGATGAAGTGTGCAGGCACAGTTTACAAACAGAAAGGAGTTACTATAAAACTGACCTACATGAGCTGTTACAGAAGAGTTTCTTAACAGGCCTAAGGGCAGGAGATGTAGACAGAAGACCTGAGGAGGAGATGGCTCCCAAACAGAATTTGGCTGAGAGGGCTGGAATAACAAGTTCATAACTTCACGATGCCTGAGCACAGACAAGCTGCCTTGGGGAATACACAGGGAAGTAAGGAAAAGGAACAAGAGCCAGACAGGACTGACTTACACAATAGTGCAGGCCACGTACCATGCAGCTCAGAGCTAATTCCATTAGTGACCTTCCCAGAAAAAGTGCGTAAGCTCACAGGGAACTTGCAACATCAAGAAGAGAGATAAGCTTCACACGCCTGATACTGAGCAGGCAAAGCCAAGTACAACACGAATCTGCCCAGGAAAACAATACACACAAGACACCGTGCAGTGTCAGACATTCTTTCCCGGCAGCATTTGTTCATATTTCTTTTACTACCACTTCTTTACCACTTATTTCAGCATTTGCTCCAGCTCTTCTTGCAGCGATACTGAGACAAGAATCAGGAGCACAAGGAATTCCAACAGCTTCCAGGAAGCCACTGAAAACAGCAACCTGAGCGGTGCAATTCACAACACACCTCACCTGCCCTCCCAGTTTACCAGCCGAGGTGCTACAATACATATAAAATGGAATTAGAGTAGAAAAGTGATTGGCAGAAGCCAGGCAAAGTGTGCTCAGGGTTGAGGCTTTTAAGAACAAGCCTTGTAACAATTCTGCAACAAACGTAGTGAAACTGCATGATCGCTACCTACTGACCATGTAATGATCCTGGAGAAGAATCATCAGCTTCCCCCCCTGGAATTGGATGCACGAGCTTTAACTACTAGT